GGGGAGGCGGCCGAGACCCGGCTGTGCTCTGAGCCTCTCGGATCCCTAGCTCTCCGCTCCGAGTTGGGGGCGAGAAAGAGGGGGGGAGTTAACTGAAAATTTCCGGCTTTGACTGCAACTGGAGTGGGGGATCTTGCGACTAAAATAAGGGGCGTGAGAGGAAGAGTGGGATGTGTCGTCGGGAGTCGGCGGAGTAACCAAACCCAGGTCGCCCAGAGTTGGAGTTTTGACAGAGTGAACCGGGGGTATCAGCAGTCTGTGATCTGTAGACAGATGGGAAAAACACAAAACAACCAACAGTAATTATGAGGGGCCGGTGGGGATGGTAAATACCAGCACTTTCCAAGAAACTGGAAAATCAGACCAAAAAATAATTCTTCTCTATTAAGAAAAAAAATTGGCAGGTTGCCTCATAGAAAAGAAAATACTAATCTGTCCAAGCACTTTTCACTTTCAGCATTTGTTTTGTTTTCCTTCGCTTCCTTTCTGCCTCACAAAGCTCTATCGCCCTATCTTTTCCTTTTGGACAGAGGATATGATTTGGAAATATCCAGACACTCTTGTGGTTAACGATCTACTTGAAGGGGCTGGCGGGTTCACAATTATTAAGTGGTTAGCAACTGCCGAGGGTTCACTAAGGTATTTCTGGGAAGCTAAAAGCCTAAAATTGATTGTAAATAACAGAACTGCAAGATAACAGACATACACACAGACACACACACAGACACACACACACACACACACACACACAAAGGGGAGAGAACACGGTTCGGTGGGTGCTCAGTTTAGATGCATTATTGGAATTCTGAAATTTGAAACTTTGTAAGAATGTATACTTTACCTGCTGAGAAAACCTGAATACAATTATTTCAGGTGAAAATGAGATTTTGGAGAAAAAGAAAAGCCTTCTAGACTTTCTACAATGAACTAAAACAAAACTTAAAATAGCTGTTTTTGGGGAAAGAACTCAGTGTTGTCCAAAATGTCTCTGTAGAATACTTGAAACCCTTTTAAACATCTTAATGCAAAGCTTAAATTTTTTTATTTACTTCAGTGCTCTGTGGAAAAGTTAAAAACCAGCAAAATTCTGTTTGAATTGAAAACACTACCTCCATAAATCTTTTGACTTTTGAATTAATGTTGCTAATTTCACAGTAGATAAAAATTTTGCCTTTAAAAAATTGATTCTATACTACAGTGTGAAGTAACAGGTTAGGTAAATAAAAATTGTTTAATTTCCATTAGCAAATATTTTGCAATGCATTACAATAATTTCTTCTCAAAAAATAGAAGTGAATAATTTTGTTCTTAATTCATAAAATACATTCTGTGTTTAGAGCATATCTTCTAAACTGAAATCCAGTTGCTGAACAGAATTTTTATTTATAAAGATATCTATATTCTCATATACCTTACAGATTTAAGAAAGCAAATTGTTGGATTTTGTATTTATATAAAATATTGGATCACTTCAAATCACTAATCAGACTTTAAACCAGAGACACAAATGGGAATCCTGCACTTTGATAATTGCTCACACTTATCAATGCTTTTAAAACAAGATTTATTTGCTGGTAATTAACACTGAATTTATGTAGTTCAGAAATAATTGTCAATAAATGATTATAGGAACCAGCAAATGATTACAGGAATTTATTTGAGTAAATAATTTGTTTAAAAATCTTAAGCTGTAAATATCTTTTAAATGAAAAGGAAAATGTCTTTTCTACACTGGGTTGCATTTTTAATTACTGAATTTGACAACAACCGTAGATGGGTTAGAAACTCCATGATTTAGGTTACTAGAACACCTGGGCAATGTAAAAAACAATGAAACTTTATTTAATTATATACGTTAATACTGAGAGTTACCTCTTTTTATGTCATCTGCTTTCTCTGATACTGTTAATTTATCATTGTTCACTCTCCCTGGTTATGGTTCACATTAACTCCAGGATAGTTAAAGCTTCAGACCAGAAGTTTTACAATGCATGTGTAAAATTAGTAAATACCAGATTGTTTTTGTTTATGGATAACTTCCTCTGTGGGTAACAGGTTATTATAACAAGATTTGCTCAAAGTTTATAAACTGTGAACCAAATTCCGACTCCTTTTTTTAGGAGTCTAAGATGAATGAATACACAGCATTCAAGAATAATGATTTGCACCAGTATTTTCATACCACATATCAGATATTCTAAAGTTGCAAATCATTTTACAGTTTTTTGAAGATTAGAATTCATGGAATTATCTCCAAATATGGTGTAGCTCACCCTAAAGTTTTTCTTAGTGTCACATAAGAGCTGTATCCCATGTGTGAACATTTTATATCAAATATCTGCAAATTTTTGTTTTCACTAAAATAAAATTTTAAATTCTGGTCTATAATTTATAACACTTATTTTAAGAAATGAGCAATTGTATTAAATTACTCAATACTCATTACTCATAAAATAAATGAGTAAGAAAATTAGTAATTGTATTATGTACCATCTAATTCTTAATGATCTCTGATTTTATATTAGCCATTTGAATTTATAAAAAACATTTTCCAGAAACTCAGAAATGAGGTTTTACTAGAATCTACTACATAAAAATTTTAATTGGAGGTCCATGTAAATTTATACTTTTTTTGTCTATAAAACAGGTCTTCTGTTTATCATTTTGATTTAAAAAAACTTTTCTTATATTTAATAACTTTGAAATTAGTTACCCTCATTTTAAACTTGATTTATATGTTTATGTGAATATTACCTTTGTTGAGTAATTACTATTAAAAATTCTTATTTTAACAGAAAAAGCATAATATAATGCAGTGCATTTGAATGCATTCTTTCTTCCCCTCCCCCTGCAAGTATTTCCAAGGAGTTTTCTTGGGTTTTTCCTTTAAATATAATACTGAAAATTTGCTAAATATCCTAGGAAAAATCCATTGTACTATCAACTTTTTTAATTGTGAACTTTAAATTATTCTTTAAGTTCAATCTTCTAAATAAATTACTTCCCGTCAATTTGGAAATGATCTGGGTTTTTCTCTTTTTGTTGTTGCATGTGATCTAGTGCACTGCATTTGAGCAGTAGAACTTGACAAAGTTTTGATATTTGCCATGCAGAAAAAAAAAATATGAGTTAGTAGCTTATAAAATTTAAGGAGAAAAACCAAACATTATTATCTATTGGACCATTCTTTTTTCATGGAATGAAATTGTAGTTATCCCTATGCAACATGCCAGTACCATATTCATATTTGTATAATTGTCATCATCTTTTCTACTTTTTTCCCTTTTGATAGACATTCATATCTTCTTTTTCGTTTGTGTGTGTGTGAATACCTGTATGTTCCTGGCATATTGTTGTGACATGTTTGAAACATGTTCTTAAGATCCTTTCATCATTTATATTAGAATTCTGAGTAATCAGAAAAATAACTATGGAAATACACTTACAAAAGATGGTGATAATCACATTGAAATACTTACATTTCCTTTCCGTTTTAAAGTGTCCCGTATTTTTCAATGACTTCCTACCATTTCTTTTCCAAGATAATACTTGCATCTCAACTGCACACATGGCCTAACAATTGTGTCGTCATGGCTGCCTCTGGTTGAGCTTAAAGGTGTGTACGTGGTTTAGATAGACCATTCAGCTGAAGCAGTGAAGGTTTACCACAGTTGGGGTGAACGATGATAAAGTGGGATCTGGGAGACAGGAAGAAAGACAAAGAAAGTCATCTGGGAGAAACTTCTGTGGACAGCCAGGCAGCAGGGACAAGTGAAGGAAGCACATTCTAAGGTCCTGGGGCCAAGAGATGTTCTTCAGTGCTCTAAGTATGGCATATCCAGACAACCTGATTCTTTCAAATGGAACAGCATTCTATGTCTAGCCTATTACGCAGTGAATGAGATTGCATTGTATATGTGCCTATATTCATGTAACTACTTTATGTTGTCTCAATATGGATTTTCCCTGAAAATAATATAGAATTCTTTGCAAAATTATCTGAACGCCTAGAAGAAAGTACATACTAGCATAGCTCTGTGGATTAAACATTTTACCATAAATTGAAGAGAGGATCCCATTTTTAAATCCTACTATAAATTTGTTCAAGGTTCCTCATAGCTTCATATCCCCAGTCCCTAGCACAATAACTGGCAAGTATTTTATGTCCAATAAATGTTTGTGAACAGGAGAGTTGGCTTTGTATCCTTTATTCCTCCTTCTTTGGAACCATCTATTGATGTCTTTCAGGGGGATATATTAGAATAATTTTTTTACATAATCCCAGCAAATTTAGAGATGGGTGTGCTGACTTCAGGACTCCAGAAGTGTGCGCTCTACCTGCCGTTCCCTTTCCTTTCAGACCTCTTCTCTAAATCCCACCATCCTTTCAAGGCCCAGCTCTTCCTTAAAACCGGGGAGATTCCCTCCGCTAAACCACATCCTCTTTGCTCTAACTCCTCGAGGCCAGCTGCTTCCTACCTTCCTAAGAGCTTGATGCTCTGTTCTCCAGCACCCTGAGCTCCCTGAGAGCGTCCCCAGGGCCTTGTTTCTTTTAGCAATGTCCCAGCACCTGGCCGTGTCATCGGGCTATAGTAGGTGGTCAATGAACACAGCAGTGGCTCTTGTCTCTCTCCATGAGGGTTACTGAGCCAAGCAGGCACAGAGCTGCCTGGACTAGTGGGACATAACTAGAATAAAACATTTGAGAGTTGAGGAGGGTCTTCCACTTTGCTTAAACAGGAAAAGAACAAGGTCATCCTACTACTTTGTATGGATTTGTTGTTCTCCCTTGTGAAGATATCAGTCATTTAAAGCATTTTTATCTGAAAGAAAATATGTTTAGATAAATTTCTAAATTTGTCGGAAAGAGGAATTCTGAAATTG